AAGAAAAAGCACTTGGCTAATGCATTAGGATTGTGCAAAAGGGGTCAAGCTTCCAGTGTGATGCCCTGCTTTCATGATTTTGATAAACGATGTAGGCACCTATGTGGGCACTCAGGCTGATGCCTGTAATTTCTAAGGCTGACCTGCACACCTCTGATTTGCACAGCAAATGGAATGTTTGGGAAAAGAAAGATGGATCACGGCCTCTGCATAATGCATCCATCTTGTTTTCAGCACTCTGAAAAATAACTTGCTTTCCTGAGGTCCTTCATAGGCCAGTTTCCCCCCTTCAGCTAATTCACTAAAAAGCTATAAAGACCTTATGTTGCCAAAAACTAATTTTTCTGTTTCAACCTCTATTTTGATGTTATTATTCTAGTTGTTGTCCAGGGAACGGAAATGTTATTTCAACTATTAACAATCAAATCTGGTAGTCTAACATCTTCAGAATTCAGTTGACATTTAAATACATAGTTTACACACACACACACACACACACACACACACACACACACACACACTCCAAAGCATTCTGAAGCCTACATATAACTTGTGCAAAGTAATGTGCAAAACCAGTTTAATATTAGATGATACAATTTATTAGAATGGTCGCTTAGATGTGTTTAAAAAACCCAATATGATAATTTATATGCGACTGAAACTTTCGTATATATTTGTAACCTTCAATTGGCTGAAGCGAAAATGTATAGTATGATAATTATTGAAACAAAGTAAGTCAAATTAAATAATTTATAGAATTCTGGGACACAGAACTCCTGTAGGAATGAAATTTGGGAAACCTGTAACTGATTCAGCACCATCACCCCTTCTGATTACCCTTCCCATATACCTGTAGATTGCAGGGTAAGATGGGGAGTTGTGTATCCTTGCTGCCTTTCTTGCTTACCACTTGTCCTTGAAGTCAATCAGCTGGTGGCAATTGTGTAGGCATTGCTTGCTTTGGAACTGAGGCTGAATTTGAAATATCTTAAGATGGCAGTGGCTGGTGAAGGAAGAATAAAGGGATGGTACTGATGCTTGGTGGTAAGGTAGGGTTTGGGAACACACTGGAATGAGGTGTAAGATGGCAATTTTCCTTGTGGTCCATGGCTTCTTTTGTTCCTCCTTTCTTCAGCAAAATGGTAGGCACTCCAACAGAGAAGGAGGAGGAGACAATGACTTCACTTGGGCTCTCCTGAGCATTGTGATAAGAAAGAAACAGCACAATCCTATATTATGAGGAAAGAAGAATAAAACAGGTTACAAATAGTCTAGTATTAAATAAATGGCCAGTGATTCCTAGTTATTTGATTATTAGCTGGGTCACATTCTGCTTTGATACAACTGTAAATTGATTTTCTTTATCTCAAATGCAAGTGCTTTAAGAATCTGAGTGCAGTGCAGTAAGACAAAATCTACATTACTGTACTGCATCATACTTCTGATGTACCAAGGAGGTTATTTTGTTGGTTTGACTACTTTTTAAATTAGCATTTTAAAATAGCATAAGGAACTTGGTGTTCCCTATAAGATGACATTCTTTAAATTAATATAAATTGAAATAGAAAGGGGAATGATGCATATTTCATGCATCCTTGTTCTGTAAATAGTCACTTTCTCCTTTGATACAGACAATTCTGTTTCACAACACCTCTGTTTCATTTTCAAGTACATATTTTGCCCTGAAATCCCAGTGAGATATTTTTACCATCATCACATGATACTTCAGTCAAAAACATTTTCAGACGCTCATCCTTTTTACCATTCTCTTGTAGGTAAATGCAATGTTAAAATTTAACAGATGCCATATTAGAGTCCTGGTCAAGAATTAGCAAAAGCTGGCAATTGAATTAGTGGGGGAATATGGGGCATGAAATCTGTAGAGTAAAGCATCATTTTTGATGGTACGCTGGACAGATGGCCTGAATTCACACATGGTGCTAAGCCATAAGTTATGGGGTTACTATAATGAATTATTTATTTAAACATTTAATATGAAACTATGTTTTTGGCTTAATTATTGCCGCTCCAATTTACCATGACATCCAAAAATTTGTTTACGGTATCCTGGATTATTTCTCATTTGATCTTATGCCCTGCCAAAGCTTCTATCTAATATATAAAAGTGTAAATGAAAAAGAACTAAACCAAAAAAAAGGGAAGGGAGAACCAAGTCAAAACATGGACCAATAAAATTTAGTTGTTTTGTAATTTGCAAGACTGACTTTGATTTGTTTCCAGCTGGTTCTGCAAATCACAATTAGACAAGGCCCAATTCAGTCTGATGTGTGAATGCAATCATTAATTTCAGAGAAAATGAGGGTAAACTTTCAGAAATAAGCCACTATAAAGAAGTAATAGAAATTGCAACATCTACCATAAGGTAAATTAACTAAACATTCTCTCTCTCTAATACTTCAGGAGAAATTCAGTTACAAGATACTATCCAAGGATTTGAATTGGTGGCCTTTTCCTGACTCTGGGAACACTTACTCTAATATTAATCTGTAGTCATCGAAAACACTTGAAAAGCAAGAAAAGCACTTGGCATGCTTAACTGAAATGGATTCTTTATGTCAGAAACTACTTAAAGACGTTTATTAAAAATAACAACCAACAGCTCCTCTTTTCTACCTACTACAAGGTCCTATATTCTCAATCACCAGGTACTGATGATAGCCTTCGGAAGAGACAGTTTCAAAATATCCACTACTTCCTGTAGCAAGGAGAAAATCTGGATCTTGGATTGCAACACCAACTTCAGGAAAAATGGTATACAAGGACAAGCTTCTAGCATCTTGCCATCATTTTTTCCTGCTTGCAACCAGATTCTGTTGGATAATCCCTATGATACGAGGAACTTATGGCCAGGAATATGCCCATTCCATTCGACTCGACGGAGATGTGATCTTGGGAGGACTGTTTCCTGTCCATGCCAAGGGGGAAAGAGGAGTACCTTGTGGTGAACTCAAGAAAGAAAAGGGAATCCATCGGCTTGAGGCAATGCTATATGCAATTGATCAGATCAATAAGGACCCTGACCTTCTTGCCAATGTCACATTAGGTGTTCGGATTCTAGACACATGTTCCAGAGACACTTATGCCCTGGAGCAGTCGTTAACTTTTGTGCAAGCTTTGATAGAAAAAGATGGGTCTGATGTGAAATGTGCTAATGGAGATCCTCCAATTTTTACCAAGCCAGACAAGATAACCGGGGTAATAGGTGCAGCGGCGAGTTCAGTGTCCATCATGGTGGCTAACATTTTAAGACTTTTTAAGGTAAGTGTATCTTCATTTTCTATTTTTAGAAACAGAGGCAAGTATTACTACTCTAGCTGCATGGTATCATAGCAAGGAATATATCAACACCAGATGTGGGGGTGATTTGGCTGCAACATCTGTCACCTTATGGATCACCAGGTTGATTTGACTGATCTTGCTGGCTAGTTGTGTGTCTCCTTCCTTACTCACTGCTCCATATGCATCCCCTCCCACAACTGCATACTCAATGGAAGAGGATGACATCCCAGATAGAAGTGTACCAATCTTCAGTCAAGATATACAATAGTTGTGCTCCCTGGTAGAGACTATATTATGACCTGCCAAATGTATTTTGCCTCAAATATGATCACACCAGTGTCTGAGTAAGGATAGTACTGGAATTGACCATTATTGATATTGATACAAAGTAAAACTATTGTTTAATGTTATGAATAATACTGTAATATATTCTTATCTGCAATACTTAACTGAAAATACTTCATATTTTAAACTTTCTTAAATATCAAGAAAATTCTAGCAGAAAGAAAAACAAAACAAAAGTCATAATCTAAGCTGGAAGAGAATGGAGAAATAGTAATGGGAGAAGCAAAAATAGCAAAAAATTGGATTAAAATACAATTAAAACCAGTTGTGACAAAAGCTGTAGATCATACTAAAAACCTATCTAGTCCAGAATTCTACCAGTTGTTCTTAGGAAATTACAAGCAAGGTCTAATTGAATTCATGTTCACCAGCAATTACTCCTTTAAGGGCTGACATCTAATAAATCACATATGCAGGTTTAGATTTATGTGTAAGAATATACTTATTATTTAAGAATTTTAATTGCTTCTATTTAATGAAGTAGTATTTGGAACAACACAGAATATTTTTTAAAGATATACCAAAATCAAGCTGTTAAATCTTGATTCCGAAGAAATGGCACAGGTCTAACAACTAATTTAAAGCCTGGTAAAATAAAGTCTTAATCCATTTCTAAGAATAAATAGATAAAGCTCTTAAGGAAAGGAATTCGAAATCAAATAAGAGACTCACTACCAAAAAGTATCTGCTTTAGTCACCACACTCCATATTTCTTAAATGGAAGGTTCATAAAGGAGGAGGTAATTCATTAGGCATTTAAACCCTAAGTGCAACATAGAAGGGATGTGGTGGCTCAGTGGCTAAGACACTGAGCTTGTCGATCAGAAAGGTCAGCAGTTCAGCGTTTGAATCCCTAGCACCAAGTAATGGAGTGAGCTCCTGTTACTTATCCCAGCTTCTGCCAACCTAGCAGTTTGAAAGTATGTTAAAATTCAAGTACAAAAATAGGAACTACCTTTGGTGGGAAGATAACAGCGTTCCATGTGCCTTCGGTGTTTAGTCATGCCAGCCATATGACCACGGAAGCATCTTCAGACAGCACTGGCTCTTTTGAAATGGAGATGAGCACTGCCTCCTAGAGTTGGGAACGACTAGCACATATGTGCGAGGGGAACAGTTTCCTTTACCTAATGCAACATAAAGAGGTTAAAATTAGATGTTTTCATAATATTTAGATTTGTATATTTGTTCTTTCTGTATTATTCTTCATGTGGATTTGGAAAAGAAAAAGAAATGGATTTTCAAAAAGACATTTAGACTTGAGTCTTCTGGATTCTGGAATTGTTGATGCAGAGTTTTGCCTGTAGAACTTTGTTTAGGAACCTGTCATCATAATGAATGATTTCACTGAAGTTAATATAGCTACCAGGTGAATTAACTTTTATGGTACAGACAACTTCTGATTAATTATATATTGTTCTAGGCTGGTTTTGTTTGATTATAGAATCATGGATGATCAGTTGTCAATTTTACATACGTACGTACGTATGTACATACGTACGTACGTGTGTGTGTTTATAAAAGTGCCAAGCAGGTAAACAGTGAAATATGTTTGAAATCCAGAAATAGTGGTATGTGTAAAATTACATATAAACCTGCACCATGATTATAAAAAAGGTAACCTTTCAAGTTTTACATGCTTATAATTTTCCCAAGATGAATTTTAGCTGCTCACTTCAGAATAATAATCACGTTGACATGTTATTGACATGTTAGAGCCGAGGTGGCGCAGTGGTTAAATGCAGCACTGCAGGCTACTGCTAGATCAGCAGTTCAGTGGTTCAAATCT